ATTAGCATATTCCCTCCATATTTGGAGAAAACCTCCTTCATTACCCCCAAAGGGCACCTACTGCTACAAGGTGATGTCCTTTGGACTCAAGAACACTGGAGCCACATATCAACACCTCGTGAACAAAATTTTTGAGGCTCAAATCAGAAAGACCATGGAGGTCTACGTAGACAATATGTTGGTGAAGAGTATGGCCACGACAAATCATGTGACACACCTCCAGGAGACCTTTTATGCACTGAGAACTTACAGGATGAAGTTGAATTCTAAAAAGTGTGCCTTTGGTGTTAGTTCAGAAAAATTCTTAGACTTCATGGTCAACAAAAGAGGCATTAAAGCCAACCTAGAAAAGATCAGAGCTATCTTAGAGATGAAGTCCCTAGCTTCAGTGAAGGAGGTCCAATGCCTTAACAGGAGGATAGCAGCCCTCAACAGATTTGTCTCAAAGTTACCAGACAAGTGCTTGCCTTTCTTCAAATCCTCCACAAATCTTTCTAGTAGGGACCAAATGCAGAGGAGGTCTTCCAGAAGCTAAAGACCTAACTCGTCACACCACCGTTGCTCTCCCCTACTGTACCAAGAGAGACCTTATACCTCTATCTCTCATCTTCGTGCTCTGTTGTGAGCTCTGTCCTTATTAGATAGGATGGATGCATCCAGAAGTTTGAAAAGTTGGCTCTCGCACTTGTCACCGTCGCCAGGCATCAACGTCACTAATTTCAGAGTCATACCATCGTAGTTGTTACTAATCAACCACTCAAGAGAATTATGGGAAAGCCTGATGTGTCCGGCCGACTACTCAAGTGGGCTGTTGAGTTAGGTGAGTTCGATGTGCAGTACCATTCGAGGGCGGCCATCAAAGCACAAGCACTTGTAGACTTCATGGCCGAATCTACACCACCATAAGAGTCCCGATAGTCTACATCATCACTGGAGTCCCAATAGTCTACACCATCACAGGAATCCCAGAAGTCTACACCACTATAGAAGTCCCAAAAGGAAGTATCACGTGCCCCTATGCTTTCTTGCTCAGTACATAGAGCATCCACTCATTGTGAGGCAAGCCCATACACTATCCCTAGAAAGCTTGACGTCTCGGAGATAGCTCCACAGGCCTCGGGAGACCACACTTCGTGACTAGAGGCGCCTGACTCCCTTGTGCCTACTCCACCAGAGCCCTCCGCGCCCGTGCTACTGTGTACTATACCATGTTGGAGGATATGTGTGGATGAGTCCTCCCCCAGCGAGGGCAGCTGCACAGGCCTAGTGCTGATCAGCCCCCATGGCACTCCATTCAAGTATGTTGTCTCCCTCCACTTTGTAACATCGAACAATCAAGATGAATATGAGGCCCTCATATCAGGCTTGAAGCTCGCTTTGGAGATGGAGACTCTCTGCCTAACAACCTACAATGACTCATAGCTGATAGTGAACTAGGTAAAGAGAGACTTTGAAGTAAAGGAGAAAAAGATGCAAGAGTACCTATCAGTGGTCCAGGCCACCAATTCGAGCCAAGTACTTTAAAGGCAGAAGAGGAAGTTGTTAATTGTACATCCTCTAAAGCCAATTGGATGACACCCATCCCAGCCTACCTAGAGGAGGGCGCTCTCCCGGACAACCCAAGGAAAGCCAAAAAGTTGAGGATGAGAGCGTTCAGGTATGTTATTTGATGCGACACACTACAAAAAGAGTTACTCACTGCCACTTCTCTGTTGTCTTACCCCTGAGGAAGCCAATGATGCCATAAGAGAAATCCACGAGGGGAAATGTGGAAATCACTCGGGAGAGCATGCACTGGTCCACAAACCAGTAAGGCAAGGCTATTACTGGCCTAACCTAATCAGAGACACCCGAGAGTTCATTAGAAAGTGCGATATGTGCCAACGCTTTGCAATTGTACCTAGACAATCATTTGAAGAGCTCACCACCATTCAGAGCTTCTGGCCCTTCTCTATGTGGGGGATTGACATCTTGGGTCCCTTACCTATGAGTCTAGGCCAATGCAAATTTGTAGTGATATCCATCGACCAGTTCACTAAGTGGACAAAAGCCGAAGCCTTGACAAGGATAATAGATCAGAAGGTGAAAGACTTGATCTAAAGGAGCATAGTCTACTGCTTCGGGATGCCCCATGAAATTCTAAGTGATAATGCCAAGCAGTTTGACAAAAAACTTCTCAACAGCTTCTGTGCTGACCTACAGATTAAATAGCCCCACTCTAGCCGGCCCATCCATAGGCAAACGGACAGGTGAAGGTCACCGTCAGGATCATCTTCCGCAATTTGAAAACTAGATTGGAGAGTGTGAAGGGATGATGGGTAAATGAACTCCCAGGAGTGTTGTGGGCTTACTGGACGACATCAAGAAGCCCCACGGATGAGGCCCCTTTTTTCCTAGCCTACGGGACAGAGACGGTCATACCCGTTGAGATTAGGGTACACTCTCTTGGGGTCCAACACCATGACCCTACCAGTAATGACAAAGGCCTCCGCATCAACCTCGACTTGGTAAAGGAGGAGAGAAAAATAGTCATGCTCAAGAATACAGAGTATAAGCGTCATATGACCAAATACTACAACTCAAGGGTGAAGTCTCGCTCCTTCTTGCTCGGGGACCTAATCCTCAAAAAAGTTACCTTTCTACCAAAGATTCTTGGAAAAAGAAGCTAGGACCTAACTAGGAAAGATCCTACACGGTCACAGAAGTTGTAAGACCGGGCACCTACAGAATTTAAAATTTAGAGGAGAAAGTTCTAACCCATCCATGGAATGTAGAGCACCCGAAGAAATATTACCAATAGTTGGGGGCAAGACAATGGGTGCACAAGTCAGTAGTTACCATTTAAGTTATCTTTTTGTTTTTGTGAACTTTTATTGTTATCTACTTCAGATCATGAAATAAAATTTCACTAGACTTTCTCTTCTTCAAAAATTTTATCTCATTCCATAGAAGTTCATAAGGCATTTACAAAAGATAGAACATGGTATAGCAACGAAAACACAAATACAAAAATACCATACTCCTGACGTTACTCACTGCTCTCTGATTTGCTCCCATTGTCGCTCGCCTCCTCGTCATCGGTCCCTGGAGCCTCAATGGGAACAAAGCCAGAAAATTCATAGGCAGGAAAATCTGTTGAGACCTTACCCTTAATCTCCTTATAACCATCAATAAAGGAGCCTGTAAGAGCCCTCTCAGCGTCATCCCTTTTCTTCTCCATCTCAACGGAGTAAGCCTATACCCTAGTGGCTCTCTCAAGAGTCGCTCGACGGTCAGCCTCTACTCCAACGACCCTATCATGCAAGCAGCCTCTCTGTTAGCCTCCAGCACGGCAGCCTCTCACAGGACACCAGAAGCTCGGTCTCAAGTGTGACAGCTCTCTCATGTGCTAGCCTCGATTACTCCTCAGTAGTCTCTCGAGCCCCAACTGCTCCTTAGTAGCCCTCTGTGCTTGTTTCTTTGCTATCTGATCACTAAGCGCCTCTCTAAGCTTCAACGTGCTCGTAAACAAGCAAGGAAAAGCAGCAACAACCTACAAGTATCCAAAAGGCAGAACATGAAAGAAAGAAGTTGGGTATAAGATCAAAGATGAGTATGAGACTTACCATGGAAAACCCCTCTATCACAGTGTCAATGATGCCCTCCGAACCTTGAGAGCCAACCTCATGAATCTCCGCGGCGGTCACAAACCCCCACAGTCGCTCCTTGGCCAGATTCACATCCTGCAGCATGGACACTGAACCACTGCTAGAAGTAGGACAGCTAGGCAGAGCCTCGGTCCTCATAGGAGACCACACTGGGGCCATAATCCCCATGATCGTACTGGAACTAGCTCTAAAGGGTGAAGAAACAACAGTCGGGGAAAAACTAGGGGCATCACCAGGTCCCACCTCATGGGGACTAACCTGGCCGGTGGACACCAGCTGAGGAACACTGGGGGTATCAAACTTCGCCCTCTTAGAAGAAGGAGGGGAAGACGCAACCTCGGAAGCATAGAGAGCCTCCACTATCGCCCGATCAATAGAAGTACCTACAAACTTGGTGTGAGAAAAAAAGCTTACAACGCCAAAACCATCAAGAGTCTATTGGAAAGATCGGATACCTTTCCTCTTCGGCCTATGAGAAACCTTGGGACGACCTGATGTGAACATAATCTCCGAGAATTCCTTAAAAGGCTAGTCACGAACTATCTGGAGCCTACTCTCCTACTCCACAAATAATGTGGATGAAACTACAAGGAACTAATCACACAGTAAGAACAAGTGTGTGTAAAGACTAGAAGAAAAATCAAAAGTGAAATTCTTACCTAACTTGGTCCTCGGAACGGTCTCCCACCTTGAAGGCACTAGGTCACGATCTTCCTCGGTGGCCCACTTGCCTCCAACAAAGAAGAACTTAGACTTCCAACTATGATATTTCAAAGGAAGCCTAATGTTGAACTTGTCTGACCTCAGGGCAAAATGACACCACCTTTGATGAAGAAATGGGTTATCTAGGAGCACATATGTTGCTAAAAACTCCTCAAATAAGGGAGGAACATCAGTACTGTGAACTAGCCGCCACAGTGAGAAAAACAATAGGATCATTCTCCACTCATTGAGATCCATCCTCCCAGGAGCCAGCGACAGGTGCCCCAAAATATGAAAGATAAGTCCGAGTATTGGGAACCTCAAACCCGCCTCTAAGGCATCCTCATAGAGAATAATCTCACCTGAAGAGTCACAACATGCTGGCTCATCCTCCTCCGCCTGATGACACATGACAGCAGAAAGGATACGGTATGAAGACACAATACGGGCGATGTCGTCATCACAGTCAATCGACCTAAAAATGGAGGTTACCCTCGAACCGTCACCTTCAGCGATCCCTTTGCCTCATCGTGAAGCCTGCCTAACATCCATTGTATAGCCCTTACTGGCTCAAGCAACTAGCACAACAATAAAAGGGAATAAAATGGGCGTCGGGATTGACAAAAAAGTTAGCAAGGTTAAGTTACACAGTCAGAAGGTGATACCTCGATCCCCTCCACAACATGGTCCATCTACCTCTCTGAGCGAGGTCTCAGTGCCCAAGTTTGTCTCCCCCATGCATGGGTCCACTCTCCCAACACCCAGTCTACTACTAAGGGATCCACCCAGTCTTAGGTTCCCATCAGATTCGCCACTACCGCCCAGGTCGCAGACACGGTTGACTGACCGCTGCTCACTGCCAGTGCCATCGCCTAACCGCTCCACGCCTGGCTGGCGCCACCCAGGGCCTAGCTGTCGGCGTCGTGCTTGAGATCGTCATGGGCGCCATCTCCTCTCTTTCCCACATTGGTGCCAGCTCCTCTCTATCCCATGCTTGCATCACTTTCTCTCTCTCTCACACTAGCCCCGCCTCCTCCCTCTCCCACGTTGACGCTGCCTCCTCTCTCTCCTGCATTGGCACTAAAGCCCAAGCCCAAGGTGTCACCAAAATTAATGCCCAGCTCGTTCAAGCCAGGCCTAGTTGAGGCGTGGCCAAGCCCAGCCTCTTCGGCGTCGCTTACCCTTTTGGCGTCACCATCCCTCACCATAATAGCATTGCCCAAACCACTAATTTTTGCCTAACTCATGCCCACTGTCTACGTTGCTGACTGACCCATGCCAACCACCAGCGCTGCCACTTGGCTGCTGCCCACTGTTGCCCAGCCTATTGGCGCCACCGACCCCACGCCTGTTTGCCCTGATCTCGTCGCCACCATTCGCTTGGGTAGTGCCGCCTAGCACCTGGCTCGCGTTACCTAGCAACTTGGCGCTGCTCAGTGCCTCGGTGTCACTGCCTCTAGCACCTTAGGCGCCTCCCATTAGTGTCCTTTCTTCTCTGGCGTCACCCAACAGCCTGTTGGCACCGCCTGATGACATCATCGCATGGTCTTCAAAATCCCAACTCCTTTGGCACTTTCGTTTCTGCCATTGTTGTCTTCTTCGCCTACTAATCCACCTTTTGGCTCCTCACACCTCTCCATTGACATATTTCTCCACTAAAGCACTCTTTATGAAATCCCTCTAAGTAAACCTCTCCCAATCTTCAATGGAGGTTCTGAATACCCAAATAGAAAGAGTTGCAAGGAGGAAAGGGAAAAGTGGGTTATATAAATAATGGCCCCTTGAAACCCTAAGAAGAAAAAATGCCTTAAATTAGGGAAAAGGGGGTTTTGATAAGAAATCCTCTCCAACCTGAAGATAGTACCGTAATAAAAAAAAAAAGTTCAAGCTCAGCGGAGATTCACCATAGAGAAGGATAACTAGAGCTGTGGATGCCTAAAATGAAGTTATCAGAAGCTTCGTTATTGAGGGAAATGAAGAGACTACCGTGGTGAAGAAGAAAACTTTTGCCTATCTAGCTGAGGAAGGAAACACAGGGAGGAGCAAGAAATCCTTTTTAGACAATGGGGCTCACTTATGCCCTCAACCCTTTTTTGTCATTACTAGGGCTTGGGGCATGGGGGGCAAATGACGAGCCTAGATTCAATTGGGTCAGGCCCAATTAGTCAAGCAAACTCAAATCAACTAAAAGGCAGTTTGAAAGAGTTCAATAATAATTAGAGCACGTGGGAGCAATTATCGGGATGCTCACTCTCGAAGATCAAGACAACCTTTAATTATACTTACCTTTTGTAGCTACCCTAAGAACTAGTATCTTTACCCTCAAGTCACTGCCTCAACTAAAACTCGGTGCCTTAAATTATAAGCCCTCTCTACATGAGAGACACCTCTCTACACACCCCACATAGCTATTTCTCTCTTAGCTATCATCCCCTTCCCGGAGCTAACTATTGCTCTCTCTATCTCCCATTCACCTTATCTCATTAATAAAGGTTCTCTAACCACAGTTGTTTTTTTTTGGAATGGAGTAGGTCACCCAGACTGAACCACTATATATTTGTGTGTTGACTCAATATTTATCTTTTTGTCATTGGTTGCTTTATTAATTGCCTAATTAATTACCCTAAATCATATACTCGATTGTTGATTGTGCATAAGTCTATTTTGTGCATCATCAATATCCAAAAAAGAACATAAAATAAAAAGTTTTATGTGGCCCTCTTAACGTCAGGGTACATCTAGTCTTTATACGAAACCTATTACTGATATAATAAAAAAGGCTAATCTTAACTTGCATCTCAAAAGATCACTCGGATCTCAATTTGCACCCTTAAAGTTTAAAAATATTAATTTACACCCTGAAACATATAAATACATATCAATGTGCACCTGAAATTAACTGTCATCTATTTTGCTGTTAAAAAAATTTAACTTAATTATAAATTGTATCCCTCAAAGTGTAAATATTTCACATTTATGTTCCAAACAGAATTACATCAATTAATGTTTATTAAATAGCTCTCAATTGTATCATGTCATAATGTTTTTGTGTCATGTTCGTGTCAATAAAAAAAATATGTTTAGCACAAAAAGTATTTTCATGTTAAGTCAATTCCGTTGTGTCATATATTTCACATTTATGACAATTCATATAATATTATTTAATATTTTTAAAAAATTAAAAAATTATATATTTTTTGTCTATAATACTCGTTAAATAACTATTTTTGTCTACAATTATATTATTCGTATTTAACTTTAATTTGATCGGATAATCAAAAGATTTATGTCTAACTGTAGACAAAAAATAGCTATTTAACAAGTATTGAAGAAAAAAAATAGTTATTTTATATTTTTTTAAAATTTTAAAAAATATTTTTTTATTGACTTGAACATGACACAAAGTTGTTATATGATATGATACAATTAAGAGCTATCAAACAAGTATGAATGGATGAAATTTTTTTTGGATCATAAATATAAAATATTTAAACTTTGAGGGATTCAATTTATAATTAGCTCAAATTTTTTTAACGAAAAAATGGATTGAGTTAGTCCATGGTATACATTAATACGAATTTATATATTTCAAGGTGTAAATTAATATTTTTAAACTTTGAGGGTGTAAATTGAGATTTGAGTAATCTTTTGAGATGTAAGTTAAAATTAGCCCTAATAAATATAGATACAACACTTGAGACTCCTAGATCTCACACCCATCACAGACTCTCTCTGGTCAATCCTCTTACTTAATTGGAATTGCTTTGGAGTTTATAGTCCAAAGCTAAAACACTTGGTTAACATACCCTAGTAATCTCTACAATTGACATAAAAACATTTCGAAAAAATTGATCCCATCATGACTGGGCAACCTACCTCCGGTTTAAAACACCAAAATTGCATTCATACTAACGTTAATGGCAATCCCTTAGGTTAGACAATGAGAGATTTATTTATCATAAATGCCATGTCTTTCTTTGGACCGGAGAAAAGATTAGTTGAAATGCGAGTAAGTTAGCCTGATCACTCATAACCGTTGAACAAAAAAAAAACTAATGTTAATATCTTTGTAACCTAAGTAAATTAATTTTTGGTATATAAATTAATTTTTGGTATATTTGGTAATACTATTTTAGAATTATTTGTTTCAATTCATTAACATATTATTTAACACTTGTTTGCAAATCATTTTTAAAATTATAACAAGTATATCTAAAACAAATGATAGTAAGTGTTGTGGGATTTTATAGTGATCATAATGCTCCGTTTGGTATGATGGAAAAATAAAAGGATGAAAAGTTTGAGAGATAAATAAAATATCATGTTTGGTAAGAAAGGAAAATAAAAAGGATGAAAAAGTAGATAGATGAGCTTTCCTTCCAACTCACCAAAATTAATCTCTCCAAAATCGGAAAGAAAGTGAATGAAAAGTAAATTATTTGTATTGAAATGTATCTTATTTGTCTATATTTCCTTTGATATATACATATATTATGTATACATTAATTTCAAATATAAATACCGAAGGGGTTAAATCTCATGATTACACGTGACATAGCATTAAATGTGCTCACGTGATGTTGATAAGACCAGGCACGTGATGAAGGATCCTCTATTAGAGTTTTCTAACCAAACCAAGCCAATTAGAGTTTCGGCAATAGCTGAAAAGGATCGGTTCTCTTTATGACCAAACTCATCAGTCTGTTCGGTTAAGCAATGAAAGAGCTCGGCTTGTACCAAGCTGACTTCGTTAAAGTATTCAGCAAGGCAATTGAAGAGATCGGTTTGTGCCAAACTAAGTCCTTTAATCTGTTCGGTAAATATCAAGTGTGCTCGACATTTGATATGTTCGAGCTGTTTTAGATAAACAGAAGGATAAAGATACGCCTATAACTTGGGCAATCAGATAAATGAATCAATGAAATTATAGATATCAGGAGGAATTGTTGAAGAAATATCAGCAACTTCCCAAACTGAATGACTGAATTGAAGGAAGGTGTGCCACCTTGAACCTAAATTCATGGAAACCCTAAGGGGATAACGATTTATAAAAAACAGAAGAGACCAAGGTAAAAGGTACACTAAACTCTCTTGGTTTTAGTGTAATTCTTTCTGTTCCATTACTGACTTAAGCATCGGAGTGCCTTTGATTGAAGCACTTCGATCTTGGGCAGTTTGTTCGTTTTACAAGCAAGTGACTAGGAGATTGTTCAGACTTCTTTCCCAAAAATCATATTACGAATTCACGTGTAGAGGTATCCCTAATTTCTTGCCTCTACATTTTGGCGCCTTCTGTGGGAAAGTTCTTCATCTTTCAGAACAAAAAGCTACGATGTCAAGGCTCAGAAGCGCAATTGGATCACCCGTAGGCAGTTTTGCCCTAGGAAACTCTGATCCTGTGTCTCTTCCTTCTGACAACAACGTAAGGCTGCATGCAGTCAGAAGCCCCTCCAGTACCCATGAAGGTGACGAGGTATCCTCCGCAAGTTTCAAGCCCTCGAAAAACCAGAACCAGCAAAGCAAGGATCATGGTAAATCCCTCTGTGATGAGGGAGAGAACCACTCCTTGGCAAAGTTGGTCCAGTCCCTGCAGGATCGACTTAATGCTCATGACAAGCTGTTTAAGAAGTCCTACGCTAGGGAGAAAGATCTGATCAAAGGAAACAAAGAGTTAAAAGCCAAGTTGAAAGAGGTGACCAAAAGAGAAAAAGCGGACGAGAGAAAATCGGCATGAAAGTCTGGGAAGGAAGCCTAGCAGGATTAAAACTGCCAATGAGAAAGATTACCATCAACAGAAGCCTCAGATCCAGGAGGAGGACACGTGGAAGCAGTATATCAACGAAGAGCTCAACATTCGCTTAAAAAGACCAAAGTAGAGGTCGGCAAGGGACCTAGCCAGAAGAGCAACAGGAGAGTACGAAGACGGTTTGGAGTCATCCTCATTCACTACCTGAGTCGAAAGGGTACGCATCCCAAGCAAGTTTGTCATCTCGAACTTCAAGTTGTACAACGAAAAGACTGACCTAGCTTCACATATCAGGCACTTCCGACAACTAATGACCATCCACCGAAGAAACGAGCCACTACTCTGCACTATTTTCCCTAGCAGTCTAGGGGAGTCTGTCATGAAGTGGTTCAACAGCTTACCAAAAGGAACGATTAACGGGTGGTCTCAGTTAGCCGAGCAGTTCACAGCTCAGTTCATCACGAGCAGTAAACAGCCAAAGGATGTTGGGGCTCTACTGACGCTGAAGAAGAAGAGTAACGAAAGCTTGCAAGAGTATGCACATCGCTATTGGGAAACCATGAATGAAGTCGAAGGGTGTAATCTAGAGATTGCAGTTGCATCCTTCAAGATCGGTTTGCCAAAAGAAAACCCTCTATACCAGTCGCTCACGAGGAGACCTGCTACTAACCTGGAGGAATTATTGGCAAGGATCGAAAAGTATGCTAAGGTTGATGA